TATACACAAATACATGGGCCCATACATGTTTATATATTGGCAGGGACAACATGCATGGTGGAAAGAACAACAAAAAGAAAAGAAGAAGAAAAAAAAAGGGAAGAACGAAAGCGATAAGTGAGAAACAGAGAGAGAGAGAGAGAGAGAAGAAAAAGGGTGGTGGTGGTGGTGTTATTTTTGTTTTTCTCTGCTCCGTTTTCCTTGTTTTTTGGTGGTTGTTGTTGTTTTTGTTCCTTCTGTCTTGTTGTCGTTGTTTTATTGTCGTTTGCCCGCTTTGGGTTTTTGTTTCTGCATCGCACGGCGTGAGTGGCTCCAGGGCCCGTGGCTGGAGGGGGTGGGGGGGGGGGGGGGAGATGTTTTTATTTTTTTCTGCAGATGTGCACTTTTTTCTTTCTTTTTTTTTAAGTGTCCGCTCATTTCACCGTCACTTCTTTCCATTCATTTATCCCCACACGCACGCGGAGGGACAAACAAACACAAAAAATATTTATATTAAAAAATATAAGTGCAGACCCGGCGGGGAGAGTAACGGTGGAAAAGGGGGAGGATTTGCATCCAACCGTGTGTAGACTCGAGGGCAACACAAAAGAGAGAGAAAAATAAATATTTATTTTTAATTCTCGCTCCTTTTGTAAGTGTAAGTGTGTGTGCAAACGTGTTCCGTATGCCCGGCCATCAACACCTCGACAACCCGTCGCTCACGCAAAATCAGGGCAATCTGCTGGGCGACCGCCCCTGCGTGCGCCAGAGCCGCCTCTACCGCGAGCACGTTGGCGGCAACACCATGAAGGAGTTGATGGGGCAGGACGGGCTGAAGTGGAACACCACCCACACGGAGGGCGTCTACGCCGGCGGAAGGGCGTTTGACCACAACGACAAGCAACATGTGGCCGGTGTCCCGACGAATGCTAAAAACAACAAAAAAAGGAACGAAGGCGATCTCACGAACGAGGCAGCGGCGGGAGAGGAAAGAGAATTGGTGATTACGATAGATGCAGAGGAAAGCCGCTCACGCAAGTCGCCGTCCCCTCAGAAATCCCAGCAAGAACAGCAGCCACCACCACCACCACCACAACAACAACAACAACAGGGACCAGCCGTGACGCCTGTCGCTAGTCGTGCGTTTCGTCCGGGTGCGGGGTACGCCAACCGCCAGACGTACAATATATTTACCGGTGAGTGAATGTTTCTGGAGGCATATGAAAACTAGAGGAAGAGAGAGAAAGCGAGCGAGCGAGCGAGAGAGAGAGAGAAAGAGACTGGGATATATAAAAAAAAAAAAAAATGAAATGAAATGACTAAGCGAAGAGAAAACTAAATGAAATCAAAAACGCCTTGAAGGAGCAAAAAAAAAAGAATGAAAATAAAATAGAATTAGAAAAGGATGCGAGGGGCCCGATGTAACTTGAAGAAGAGGAAGGGAAAAAAGGGAGAAGCGAAGAGTCGTTCCCACATGACAACGGAGGCATTAAAGGGTGAGGGAGGAGGGGAAGAGGGGAAGAGGGGGGAACCGATGACGATGCTGGATAAAAGGAAATCTACCTTCATTAGAGAGAGAGAGAGAGAGAGAGAGAGAGGGAAAGAGAACACAGAGAACACAGAGACATCAAAGGGAACTAATGGGGACTAGGAAAGAATGTGTGTGCATGTATGCATGTGTGTTTCCATGAATAAGGAAAGTAATACTTCATTACTTTTTATAGTGGGACGGGAGATGTGTTTATTATTATTGTTATTATTACATGCGGGCACACAACCACACACACACATACATACATACATACATACCGTGCCGCCCCCTATCCTCCTTTGTTATTTCTTTTGCCATTATTCCTAATTACTCATTCTCCGATGCATTTTTTTATTTATTTATTTATTTATTTTTGTTACTTTTATTTGGCGGTGTTCATTTTTTACTTGTTTCACGTTGTGTAATGTTCCTAAACCTGCATTTAAGTCCAAACAGACGACATATATACAGATGGTTAGTGTGTCTCAGTATGTGTCTTTGTGTGTGTGTGTGTGTGTGTGTGAATGAAGGCGACATTTTGTTTATTTTTGTGGGAGACACACTTTTCTTTCCTTCTTTTTTCCTTTTTTCCTTTTTTTTTGTTTTTTTGTTTTTTTTGATAAATCTGCATCCTCTTGGTGTCAGCATTACACGTGAGTGCCTACTAATATATTATTATTATTATTATTATTATTATTATTATATACATACAGAAATGCGTCAAGAGGAGCGTGAAGGGAAAGAGGGATTGAGTGGCGCATGATTAACAACAGGGTGAAAGGATGAGAAGAGAATAGAGGAAGAAGGAAGAAGGAAGAAGGAAGAAGACTGTTTTTTCTCCCTTTAACGAGCATTATTGTTTCCTCTGTTTTGTTTTTTCTTCTTTTTTTTTTTTTTTTTTCTTTGGGGGGGAAGGGGGGTTTTTAATTTATTTTTATTTTTTTTTTGTGTGTGTGTGTTTGTTTGAGGAATGAAAATTCTTTAAATGTCATTCCCTCACGTGTTGTTCTCCTGTTTGTTTGCGGGCCATTTTATTTGGCATTCGGCTCAAATGATATTAACGCCTCATTTACACACAAACACACACACACACACAAAACGTTTTTATTCCTGCTTGTTTTTGTGACTGAAAATTTTGCGTGTGCAAACGTGTCCCGTGCGGTTTGGGGAGGGACTTCTTTTTTTCTCTTCGCCGATTGTTGTTGTTGTTGTTGTTTGATGCGCCCTTTTTTTTTTTTTTTTTGGCTGTTACGCGTGTAACTTTTTTGTTTGTTTGTTTGTTTGACTCCCTTTTTTTTTTTTTGTCCATCCTCCCGTGTAAGTGACGAGACGACTAAAGTGGAATGAGAGCGTGAACACATTACGGGTCCTGTTGGCTTTGTATACGAGCACACGAATAGGTGGTGGCGATTATGGCGAAGCGGGGCCTCTTGCCATTAGGGATGGCGAAGGAGGGCTCACTGGGCGCGATTGGAGTTGCCGGACGCGAGTGAAAGTCCCTTGAAGGAAGAAATGCGTGGTGGATGTCGCCTGTCTTTTTGCTGGTCTGTCAGACAACGCATTAACATATATATATGTGGCAAAAGAGAAAGAGAGAGAGAGAGGAACAGTGGGTTGGATTTAAATAAAGTGCGCATGCGTCGACATCTTTGGTGGATGAAACATAATTCTCTATCTCTTTCTATTTTGAGTAAACTTGTGGAGTCAATTGTCTTTTTAGGTGTGGCTTGGGGATCAATGAGTATTTCGTTGCTGTTGTTATTGTTGTTGTTTTCTCTTCATTCTTCTCCCTTGTAAACATTGCATGTAGTCTGGATATGTACACGAACGTTGTTTGCTTTTTTGTTTTATTTCTTTGCAGTGAGGAGAGGTCACACGGTGAAGCTGTCGTTAATAATAGTATTCCTGTTATCCACCGTCATGGGGGAAGGGATCAACGACGATAAGGTGGTGTACTGTGATGCATTTATGCTTGCCGCCTTTGCGGAGGCACGGGCGGCTCTCGCGGAGGGAGAAGTCCCTGTAGGTTGTGTTCTGGTGCCAGCGGAGGCGACATGTCCGGCCAATGCAGGACGCTTAGATGATAATAATCCCAACAATAGTGGAGCGTCGCTTGGGAGCCTTATCGCGGCACGTGGACGCAATGCCACTAACAAGGAGCACCACGCTCTTGCCCATGCAGAGTTTGTGGCTGTGGAGGCATTGTTGCGCGATGCGGCAGAAAAGGGGCGGAAACCACCTGCAAGTCTTGCCGGGTATGTTCTTTATGTTGTGGTGGAGCCTTGTATCATGTGTGCCGCCATGCTGCTGTACAACCGTATCAAGAAGGTCTATTTTGGGTGTGGCAATCCTCGCTTTGGTGGAAACGGCACAGTACTCGCGGTGCATGCGGCGAAATCCACCAGCGCCCCTGCCTATGAGAGTTGCGGGGGCCACCGAGCCGAAGAGGCGATAGCGTTATTGCAGGAGTTTTACAGCCGTGAAAACAGCGCTGCGCCTGACCACAAGCGAAGGCGGAAAGATATTTGAGGTAAAATAACGCCTTTGTATTTGCCAATGATGGCATTGTACGGAGTGTGTGTGTGTGTCTGTGCACTTTGCCTTCCACCCGTTTGTCGAGTACATTCCTCATAAACACTCACACACAAGAGATGCGTGAATCGAATGAAAAGGGGTGATGGTGTTTGATTGCCTGTGTTCCTTTTTTTTTTTCTTTGTGCGTCTGTATTAATTATGACTTTTCCTTGTTTTTTTTTATTTTTTTTTTCTTTTTTGGTTGTCTTGATTGATCTTCTGTCGGGCCTTTAAATTTAAATGCACACACACACATACACACATGGTAACCGAAGGGAGTAACTCGATAAAAGAGTCTCAAAGTGGTGTACGAGGGATTCTTTTTTGTTGTTGCCATTGCGGTTGCTGCTTGAACGGTGTGTTTGTGTGAGAAGAGGAGCGGGATGTTTTTGGATACACTGGCGACTGGGCTCATGAAGGCTGCTTTACTCCTCTTTCTTCTTGGATTTTTCTTTAGTACGGTTCGACTAACATGTTGCATGGCATTTTTTGCCGTTAATCCGGAGGTTCCCGGGACGATTCCATTTTCTGACGACTATTGGAGTCAGGTGCATGTGTGCCTCAATCGTTACTAACACTCCGGAAGCCCATGGAAAGTGTGTGTGTGTGTGTTTGTGTGATTTGACGGGCGACAACATTTTTGCATCCGCAAAAATTATCCGATGAAAGGGGGAACTGCAGCACGGGTATATATATATTTATATGTACATGTGCATGTCTTTATGTTGTCCCCTAGCCTGTAATGTGCTTTATTCTCTACCCCTTTTTTTCTGTTTTTTTTTCTTTTCTTTTTTGCCGAGCAAAGCAGAGGGATTGAAGGAGAGGAATAGGTTTTTTTTTTCTCCTTTTTGTTGTTGTTGTCATCTCACACGAGGGGATTAAGAAAAGGGAGGTTGAAGGGGGCACGGCCGGTGTGGGACAACGCGTTGTCTTTTTACCCTCTTCGTGCATGTCTCGTGTGCGCGTTTTGAACCTTCCGCGTGACTGCACGGAGGAGCAGCTGCGACGTCATCTACTCGCCTCCCTGCCGCCCTCTGGGCCTCACTTAGAGATCACAGACTGTGTGATCAAGCGGTCTCAGTCCACTGGCAAGGGCAAGGGTGTGGTTCGCATGGCCTTTATGGGGTTTCGAAATGCCGCCAGTGGTAATTTTGTTGTCCGGCACTTTAATGGCACATACTTTGGCAGCGCGAAGTTGCGGGTTGAGGTGGCGAAGGGTCTCGCTGACGTTGGTGTGACAACGAACATGAGAAAGAAAATGGAAGGAACGGAAGAGCGGCCGCAGCGGAGCGCCACAGCGGGTAAGAGGGACGGTGAAGGGACTGCGGGCAGCAGTGGTGGGGCAATGAAGCGTCCTCGAGACGGGGGGCAGAAGATGGTAGCGGAGCAGGGGGACGGGGGCGGCATGGAAATGGAGGAAGACGCCCAGTTGCGTAAGAAGAACGAACGGAAGAAGGAATTTATCGCCGAGCGATTGAAGGCAACGTCCGGCCCAACGTGGACCTCAGAGGTTTTACTGCCGGAGTCCGCTGAATTTAACGCCCGGACCGTGAAAGACGGCACCGTAATGGGTGGTGCCCACGGCAATGAATATGATGTCCACATCAACGAGGAGAGTGACGCCCTTGACGACGAGGAGAATGAGCGACGGGCACTGGAGCGGCAACAGGCGCTGGGAAAAGTAAGTGATTTGGATTTCTTAGCCTCAATAGCGACCAAAACAGAGGCGACAATTAGGAAGAGTTCCTCGGTGAAAGGGAACGGGGTCGTGGATGAAGAAGATGGAAAAATAGGCGATGATGATGAGGATGATGCTGGGGGAGAGCAACAGGAGGATGTGGGGAGTGAGACACGGCAGCAGCCATCTTGTGTAGATGATTCTTCCAAAAAGGATGATCAGGAGGCGATTGTACAAGAAAGCCGTCGGATACGCCTCGGGAATATTCCATACATTGCTACGGAAGATGATGTGAAGCAGTTCGCCTCCTCGCTGGTGGGTTCTGTGGAGGCCGTTCATATTCCCTTGACCAAAGACACACGGCAGAGTAAAGGTGCAGCATTTGTGAAGTTTGTGCGGGTGGAGGATGCCGTGCGGGCTCTTTCATTGTGTCGTGGTGCTGTCTTTATGGGCCGATTGTTACGCGTCAGCGCTGCAGAGGACGATCCGTACACCAAGAAACTTGAATCTCACGGTGACGCGGCCGCAATGGCGGGCAACAGTGCATTTAAGCGCCTGAAGGAGCAGGAGCGTCGCAATGAAAACGGCTCGACGATGGGATGGAACACGATGTACATGAATAGTCATGCGGCTGTAGAGTTGGTGGCAAAGCGAATTGGTGTTACATCGGATGCCGTCATCTCTGTTAATGCACGAGGCGCCGCCGTGCGTGCTGCCATTGCCGAGGCCTACCTGACGACGGAGATTCAACAGGTACTGGGCGATGAAGGGATTGACTTTGGTTTACTGGAGAGTGCCCGGCAGAATCTGTTGAAGACACGCAGTAACACCACAATCCTCGTTAAGAATATTCAGACGACAGACCCGGATGATGCGGCCCAGTTGAGTAAGATGTTTCTGCGTTACGGGACACTGGAGGCCACGGCGTTCCCATCCGCGGGCGGGTTTGCGCTATTTCGCTATACCCATCAGCAGGATGCACGTGTGGCTTTTCAGCGACTCTCGTACAAATTGTTTAAAAACGCACCGCTCTTCCTGGAGTGGGCCCCCATTGGCGCCATCGTGACAAATGACGATGAAGATGGGCGTGACGACGATGACAAAACGAAGACGCCTGTAAAGGACAACAGCTCTGCCACGGATGGAGCGAAGCCGCAGGACGTGGAGAAGGCCGACTTGGATGCACCGAGCGGCAATGCAGCCTTTGCCCCTGTGTTTACGCTCTTCATCACAAACATTCCGTTTACGTCGAATGAGGAGGAATTCTACGTGTTTTTACTTGACACCTGCCCCCGACTCGCCAAAGTGCCGGAAAAACACATTGAGCGGCTAGCGTTTGAGCAAGACAAGGGGCGCGCCTTCCTCACTTTGAAGGAACAGAGTACTTTCAAGTATGTGCAGCAGCGGCTTAACGGGAAGAGTTTTGCCAAACGAACACTTGCATGTGTACCGAGCAAGCAGACAACGGCGATGCTCGCGACAGCAACAGCGACAATGTCCGGGTCATCCAAATTGGGGCTTGCGGCCACGGCATCTCCAGTGGAAGAGGGAGAGGAAGACGACATCGCAAAGGCCTCGGCTGTTGTGGCTCGTAGAGGTGCGGCGGCGCGTCAGGGAAGCCATGTCCCGCCCGGATGTGACGCGCTCAAGTTGGTTGTCAAGAATGTTCCATTTGAGGCCACGGAGAGAGACATACGAGATCTTTTCTCTGCCTTCAGTGAGATTCGCAGTGTGCGCTTGCCGCGTAAAAGCCATCAGTTTTCCTCTCATCGTGAGAACAATCATCGTGGATTTGCTTTTGTGGAGTTTCTCTCGGAGGAGGAGGCTAAACGGGCCTTGGAGACCCTCAAAGCCACGCATCTTTACGGCAGACATTTGGTGCTGCAGTACGCAAAACTTGACGGGCAGTAGCGTTGTCCCTTTCTTTCCGTTTATTTCCTTTGGACACCCTTTTATTATTATTATTATTATTATTGGCTGACTGTGTACCTTTACGAGGGAATCCTATTTGCATCCAAAATTGCTGGGTTACCTTTCTTTCCTTTTGCCTCTGGGAAAAAGATGGAATGAATGGAATCAAAAGGGACGTCAGCAAAACATTCCGATCTTATAAATATACATGCGATTAACTGCGGACTAAGTTTTCATTTTTTCTTTTTGTAAAAAAAAAAAAAAAAAAATTTGTGTGTGAATGTGTTTGGGTGTATTTCTTGACCTCAAGGAGTCTCACGGTAACGTGGCTTTGGCTTTTCACCCCGTGTAATGGATGTGCAAACGCTTTTCATACATCCCCTTCCTAACATCTTCATGGGGCAGGAAAAGAAGTAGTGGCGGTGGTGGTGGTGGTGGTGGAAACTGCACCAGCGAACAAAACAAAGGGGTCAAGCGAGTGAAGAAGGAAGACCCGAAGGAAGAAGAAAAAGAAAAAAAATATCTTTTGGGTGGAGGAGGGGGAGATAAGGGGTTTTTGATAGAAAAGAACACATTTAAAATAAAATAAACTGGGGGAGGGTGATTGGGGTGATGGATAACAATACGGTGGTTCTCTCGGTTCTGGAGGATCTCATCCACTGGCCAATTCCCCCAGCGGATCCTTTTAGCGTGGATCCCGCGACGTTTGGAGCGGGCGGGGCGGATGCCGACGCGGATGCCATTTGGCGTGAAGAGGCGCCACTAACTGCAGGCGGTGCAGAGGATCTTGACGAGGAACCAGGCGAACGGCAACGGTCCCGTTACGATGCCGTGCTCCGCCTACCGGCCCTTGCACAGGCGTTAGGTTCACGGTGGGCCAAGGTGGAGGTTATCCCGTACTTACTGCGCTGCATAGAGGAGGAGGATGCAGAGCTCAGTTTTGTTACTGGCATGGCTCTTATCGATTTTGCAACATCCACGTTTACGTATCAGCGACAGCCAGGGTCATTCTTGTCATCGTCCAACGTACGTCCAGTGACTTTATTTTTAGACAATGGTCGGCCACTCTCACTAGAAAACCTTCTACCCGTGGTGGTTAGCATGGGTGCCTCCAATGATGCCGGTGTCCGTCGGTTCCTTGTCGAGGTGGTTATCCCAATGCTGTTTTTTGGTGTCCCCCTCGAGCGTAACCCTGACCTCTGCGACTGGAAGACGAAGTATCTCAAGGTTTGGCCGGACGGCGGTGATGGGGCCGAGCTGGGCGATGAACCAAAAATTACATTTGACACAAATGGCGGTAGTAGTAGTAGTGGTGGTGGTGGTAGTATGAATTATTCTTCTTATACAACAAATGGTGGTCATAGTGGAAGAAGGGAGAGGGCAAGAAACAGAGTGGAGATGCGGCACTCCACCGGGTGTAATGGAGGTGGTGGGAACATGGGAAAATATCACGCGGGGAAGTCCGCTTTGGGCAGCATCACAGAGGTGTGGGACCCCTTTCAAATCAATCTTTACGCGAACCGCCTGCGTAGTTCCGTTGCCACATTCCTCCGTGACGTAAGCAAAGAGAAGGCGGAGGCGGAAGGGCCAATTATGGCCTCAAGTGGCAATGCAATCGAGGCGCATGATTACACAGAAAACTCGTGTCGGCGTGAAGCATTTCGTTCTCGATGGACTCTTTTTGTGGGTCTTATGGAATCGATGTTGAAGTCCGAGTATGCTGCTGCAGTGAGCTCCGCGGTGGAGTGTATCAGCAATGTATTCTCATGTATTGCTTGGTTTGAGCGCATGGAGCGACGTCAGGAACTCCGTCCATCTTCATCCCCATCTCTGCTACGTTCCATAGAAGAACTTGTGACGTTTGTGTTCACCACAACACGAACACATGTTGGTCGCTCAATCAGCAGTGGGGCAGAGAGGCCTTGTGAGGATTTGATGATGCTTCTCTCTGAACACCGCCTGATCGTCACAAGGAACCCAGCGACATCCTCCACAATTGCGGAGTGTCGTGGTCCCATTGCATTGGGATGTGGAGGTCTTGGTGCGGCAGAGCGCGAGGTTTGGAATTTATTTATGGGTGGCAATGCACCGGTCATGCACCGCGTGGTTCGCATGAGTCTTTTGAGCTCGTTGCCACAACTAATTCAATGGACGAACAGTGCGGCACGGAGTCAATTTGCAGGAGCACTGGATTGGCTGGGAGGGTTGAGTTTCTTTTCTGTATCCGATGTCTTCTTGCAGGCAATCGCCGCCCCCGTTCCTACCTTATTCGCCTCAGAAGAAGGTGGAAGCGGCGATGATAAAAAGGATTTGAATGAAGATTGCAGTGTGAAAGCGAAGACGACGACGATAAAAGAAAAGGTCAAGAAGAAAGGCATGGATATACCGCATGCCATGTGGCCGCCGTTAGAGAGTGAAGTGAGCCACGATTCTGGCATTGCTGAGGCAGTCATTGATGGGGTGCAGCACCTGTTAGACGAGTTACTGCGTCCTCACACGATAAAAGACTTCTTGCAAGTAAAAGGAGATTGCAGTTCCGAATTGACGCTGGTGGAGAAGATGGATCGACTGTTGCAATTATGTAGAATCTATCGTGACTGCGTGGTCGGGTTGGCCGCGTTACCCTCGTGGAGAACGAGGTGGTTGGCAACGCAGCGCCTGCCGCACATTACAGCGGCAGTTGTTGAGGTTTTACGTCGGGTTGGTGACGATGACCCCAAGGACGGTCCCGCACTCGTGGAAGCGTGCACAGAGTTTTTATGTCAGTTGCATGTGGAGCAATGGTCTTCAGTGGAAGGGCGCGACAGACATATGCGGGAAATTGTGCGCGATAAGGAGGAGGAAGTGCGCTGCGTCATTTCTGTGTGTGCTGCAGGTGTGTTTCGGGCTCTGGGACAAGGCATGTTTTGTCTCGTGTTTCCACGGGGTGTTGTTGTTGATATGAAGTCAAAGAGTCTTGTGGTCTCGGAGACACGCGAAGGCGGCAGTGTATCGAGGGCCCGCCATGCGGACCCCACCAAATTGGATACAGTGTGTAACAAGGCTGGAAATAATGGCGGCAATGGGCACGGAGGGCTGCTTTCTGTCAGTATTTTGATGCGGTTACTTCCAAAGTTGTTTGATGTTGTTTTTTCCTGTTGTGCATGCGTCTTGCACGATCCCGAGGAACGTGTACGGGCGGGCGCAGCCGCTGGGCTCTCCGCGCTTGCTCGAACATTGAGCGCAATGGTCATGGCCTGTGATCTGCATGTGGATGAACTTGGAAAAAGTACGTGGCTGCAGTATCTGGACGGCACTACCATGTCGCTTATGATGCTACTAACCGATAAGAGTCCAACGGTGCAAATTGCGCTTGTGACGGAGCTGGCAGCTCTTCTTGTGAGCAGTGCCGTGGAAACAGGGAGACTTGCGGCGACAATTGGTAGTCACAGGAAGGATGGGGCGGCCCAGTTGCGGAGAGAGGCCCTTATTGCGTGTTTGCAGAGCCTTTCACGTCATGAAGTATGGCGCTATCGTGAGCGCTACGCGAGGATATTGTCAGAGATGTGTGTAAAGTTTTTGGCACCAAATTCACTGGCCGCGGTAGAGGCGGTCTCACTGCCGCCAGGGGGCGAGACCCACATTCTTGAGGATGGTCTGCGTGAGAGCAGCGTCGCGGCAGGACGCCCAAGCGGCGTGGTGGTGGCTGAAGATGGTGTCAACCCGCTTCATGGCTTTGCCAAGGAGGCGTTGCTTCCACTTTTGGTGGAAGTCCTGTTTGACAAGGTGAAGGCAGTGCGAGATAGTGCGCTGGAGTCGCTGGAGAAGATGTGCGACCAACTCTCAGCGGCGCGCTCACAGCTTCAGGCAGCCTCGTCTAGCGATGGCACCAGCAGTGGCGTCGGTGGAGTTGGAATGGCTGCTGGCGGCGGTGGCGGCGGCGGCAGTAGAGGTGGAATTTCCCGCGGCACCACGAGCAGCAGCAAAAGTAACAGGCAGAAGCCCCACCACAATCAGCAACAACATGACGATGATGTCTTTATCAATGACACGCTGTGGCCACTGATTGTCAGGTCCCCCAAGGCGATGGCGACGTATCTTAGCCGGAGTTCGCTTCTTCGCATAGCGGTTCGCCTTGGAGTCGACAAGGAGTCTATTCTTCTTCCATTGCTCGACCATCTGGGACACGATGCGGTGCTGAACGTGCGGCTTGTTGTTGCCAAGGAGTTGTATGGAATCCTTGCCGGTTCTTCCACTTCGGCATCTACCCCCGCAGCCCGTACATCCAAAGTCACCTTTACGGATCAGGAGAAGAACGGGGTGGTGTTGCAGCTTCTGAGATTGCTGGTGGAGGATAAATCCGGTGATGTTCGTGATGAGGCTGCCAAAGCCTTGAAAATTTGTTTCTGACCATTATCATCCGTATTGCCTTCACCGTATATACATATACGTACGTACATGTGTTTGTTTGTCTGCGTGTTGCTTATTGGAGGGGGTTATTTCCCTGTAATGTACCTGGCTGCAAATCTCACTTATTATTTTTGTGTGTGTGTGTATGTGTGTTTGCCGCTGTTTTTCAACGCCCTTTCCTCATCGGATTCTGGGAAATATATTTACACACACAGGCGTGCAGATTGGGGAGGATTACAATACATATCTTGCTCTTACTTTTTTTTATTCTCGCCTTATCCACAAATTAAGGACACAGAATAGATAAATAAACACGTGGCTGCAGCTAGCGAAGAGGAGTCAATGTTAGAGCAGCGCATCGTATCCGTGGAGCGGCGCTCTGCTGCGATGGAGCGCGCCATCATTGCTGCAATGGAGGAGGTGGATGAATTGCGCTCATTGTTCTTGACACGTATAGATGGCATTCAACGTGTCGACGCCTTGGAAAACACGGCAAAGGAAGGTCGGGACGCCACCCCCGCGAAGAGCAAAAAGGGTGACTTGGCGAGTGTCCCAAAGAAGCCGCGTGTCGGCGCAGTGGGCGAGAGAAAAGAAAAAGGGAAAAGTGGCAGGGGAGGTGAGTGGTACAACACCCCCTGCAGTGAGCTGACGCTGCGCCACCTGGAAGAGGTGATGCAATTAGCAACCGAGGCAATTGCGGCATCGGCAGCGCAGAAGGAGAAGTCGCATCTGCATGAGGTGCGGCAGAGTGCCCTCGAGAAGGAGGTGGAGGCGCTGCACTCTCAGCTGGAGAGGCGCACTCAAGGTGTGGAGCAACAAACCTCGCAGCAGGTGCAGGAGATGGAAATGAAACTACGCAAATTGGAGACCAAAATGCAGCAGCAACGTGAAGAATTGATAGAGGAGGTCCTGAAGCGCCTTCATGGATTTCGTGAAGCACCGCCACTGGAAGGGGGCGGCGGCGAGGAGCTTATTCAGAGGCTACAGGAGCGTGTTTCTCAGCTTGAGCTGAAGCAAGAGGCGCTACGGAGCCTCGTTGCCACAGAACTTGACGCGGTGATGGAGGACCGCGTTAAGAGTATCGCTGAATCGCACCTCCAGCAACTCCTACGTGAACAGCAGCAACAGCAGCAGTGGTTGAAGGGTGGCAGCACCGTGAACACGAGCACACAAGAAACGACAGCTAAAAACGGTGTTGCCTCTGCTGCTGCCATTGAACCATTGCCTGCCGCTGCCGGACCGCTGGATTTTCGCAGCCTTCGCCTCGACGTCGATGTGCTTCGTCAGGACCTTGTCCGCTGTATCGTGGAGATTGAGAAAGTCATGGATCAGCAGCAACGCCTGGGGGTTCGTGTGCACAGCTGCGTGAGCACCGTGCAACGACACCAAACCGACATTGACGGGCTCTCGGATCAGCAGAAAACGCTGATTCAGTCTCACATGGCGCGCCTTGAGACTCAGCAGGCCACAGCAACTGCGCGGCAGGAAAAACATTTGGCCGCGGAGCTGGATTTGCTGCACGCGAAGGTTCTGTCGGAGGTGCGACGCGTCCATGAGCAGCAGACCGACATGATTGTGCGATCCGAGCATCAGCGACTGGATGACTTGGCGGCGGCGCAGGAGAGGCTGCGGGATGAATTGCGCGTTGCCGTTGAAAAGCAGCGCGAGGAGGTGAGGATGGCCATCGAGCAGGTTTCAGAGACCGGGCGGCGGTTGGAACGTGAATTGGCGTCCCAACTGCGAGGTGAGACAGCGCGGCAAATTGACGCGGCACGGCAGGCTCAGGAAGTTTTCACAGATGAAACACAACGGCTTCTGCAGGACACACAGGAGGAGCTTCGACGAATGCAGAACAATCTGAAGGACAGCGCCATACTGATGCAAGAGCGAAGCCGACGTTTTGAGGAGTCGATGGAAAATCGGCTCAATGACGAGGCTCGCCGGATTAAGACGTTTACGAATGACGCAACGTTGCGACTACAGAAGCAAGTAGAGGATGAGGTGCGGCGCATTGTGCATATCACCGAGCAAGAGTCTTTGTCATCTATGCAGCATGAAATGCAGCGTGTCAATGTCACTCTGCAGGCCCTGGAAGAAGAGCAGCGGGCGCTCCGTGAAGGGATGCTCATGCTATCGGCACCCTCCAGAACGATGGCAAGCCTAGATCACCGCATGAATGTGTTGCAGGAGGATGTTAGGAATATGTTTGCCCAAATTGAGCACGTGCAGGATATTGGAGCGCCTGGGCTGACGAAGCACGTGCTTGCCAAGCAGCAGCGAATGCTGCAGGATGACATATTAGAAGTGAAATCGAGATTGCGTCGCTGCGAGGAGTGCTGTGGCTACACAAATGTTGTGCCACAGACGCAGGAGATGGAACTGTCACACACCTTGAGTGGCAAGGCGTTTCCCCACATTACCGTGATGCAGCCGACCAAATTGACGACGGAATCATTAACGCCGGGGAAACCAACTTTGGGGCAGGCGAGTGATGTCGCTGCAGGGGTCGTTCAAAGCCCAGGTGTGTCTTACGGGCTTAATCAAAGCAAACTGATGAAGGGTACATCAGAGATAAACCCATTCAGCAACACGTTTTATGATCCTCTTGCTGGTGTCTTTGACTGATGCTTGCGGGTGGAACAAATTTTCTTTTTTTTTTTTTTTGCTGTTTATAAAAATATCTTGTGTCTGTGTCTTTGCGTTATCTTCTATCGGTTCCTTGCGCTGTCTGTGTACAATCCAGCTTTGATGTGATGTGTGTGTAGTCTTTGCGGCTGTGGTGGGATTGCTTCCTCACCGCCGTTTCGTGCCGACATATTTGCCTTTTGCTGTTGTTGTTGTTGTTGTTTTTGCGCCTATCAGCGTCCCTTGTTTGCCTGACTTTGGCCGAACTACAACCGTCAGCAGGGCACTGTTGTGACGGGAGGCAAACACACACATATATACATACATAGAGGTACATACGTGTGGAGTCGCCCGTACGTTTCTCACGTTCACAGAGCAGCAGTCAAACCAAAAGACTCGCGAGGAAAAAAATAACAAAAGAAACAATAAAGGGAAGAGCACCACAAAGAAAAGAAAAGAAGAGAGAGTGAAAGGGCCTGCAACAGGCAAGGCACACGGAAGAAAAAGACCCCTTCATGCTACGTCTGCGCTGCACTTTGGGGGCCTCCTTTTTGACGCTTCAGCCTGAGGCACTTGTTCGCCGTCATGGTCGATGTGCGATGCGGCCCGTTGGATACGCCCTTCTTGTCCCCAACCGTATGCTTTATCAAGCCGCACCGTTCATCTCCGCGCTCGCCACGCAGCGCCGATGGGTACGTGTCCGCGCCAATCACGCCAGTGGGCAGAGTGAAGCTGACGGAAGCAAAAACGATGGGGCGGAGCATCCAAAAGCAAAGGGAGAGAAAAGTGAGGGAGTTAATAAGACGAGTAAAAAGACCACGGGATTCCGTGCGCATCTGGAAGGACTAAAGGATGATTATGTGCGGTTTCCCGACATATATAATAGCGCAAATGCCCTCAATTTTATTCTTTTTACAGTGTTCTGTCTTTGTAGCACCGGGAGTAACGTGGAAGAGAAGTGGTGGTTGGATAATTGGGGTATTGATGCACGGCTGATGCCGCTTGCATGGGGATTACACTCCCTTTTAATGAATAACTTTCTCTCCATGGCATTTGCGATGATGCTTTTACACACCATGTGTCACAGCGTGTTACCAACGGTGGGTTCACGTGGTCTCATGATATACTGCATTATAACCGCTGTGGCGTCTGGCTTTTTGATGTGGGCGTTTAATTACATGACGAACAACACGGCAGAGAAGCAGTTTGGCCCGTGGGACATTGTGGCGGCCTTGTTTGTGATGCAGTACCTGCACCAAGGGTTCTCGCCGATTTGTATTCTCAACAGCTTTAACGGCTGGGTGCGCTACGCCTGCTGGGTAGGGGCTGTATGCATTCTGTATTTTGACTGGCAGCCCACAGCGGCGGGTACGCTTGTGGGGTTTGCACTCTGCAAGGGTCATCCAAAGTTCCGCGTGACTGGCCCCGTTAGCTGAGATCTGCAATGGTTGAAAGACGGGCTGTTTGGCATGACGGCAAAAGGCGCACTAGTCGATAGGGCAGAAGGAAGGGAAAAAATAACAATAAAAGAATCAAAAAAAAAAAGAGGTGAGAAGTACCCATTTATTTATTTACCGCGGGGCGGTGGAGTTTGTACGCACGGCATACGTGCATGAGCGGGGCGATGATGACTTTCCTCATTCTCTTGCCTGTAGAAAAGAAGTGATGCGTGCCGGAGGGAGGGAAAAAAAAAAAAAGAAAAGGAATTGGGAAAAAAGAAATTTGCTAATGATGGACCGTGTGAATGGATGGCAGGAAGAGCGGAGGAAAAAAAAAAAAAAAGGTGAACGGGAGGGGATAAAGAAGGGAATGGAAAGGAAGTTGTGAACGTTTTCCCACCGTTCCTTATTTTATATATATATTAGCTCCTGTTGATGTGTTTGTTTGCTCGTTGTCTTCCGCCTGTCTTATTGGGGATTGGATTGAAGGTGTCATCTCCATACGCCCTTTTTTCTTCCCTTGCGGGTGTGGGTGTGGGCGTGTATGCATGCATGGATGCCTCTAATTTGTATGTGCAATTGGTGTGCCGCCTCTTTTTTTTTTTCCCTGTGTGTGTGTGTGTATTGACTGAAACATAATGAATATTCCTGCGAAGACCGATATTTAATCTAACTTTTAAAACTACAGAATGAAATGAAGTAAGGCAGCCCACCCTTCATGCATGCATGCATGAATGATTGCCTCCCGCTGACCCTCCCTCTTTCACTTTGCCTCGCTCCGTGTGGGGCCAATCTCTGTGTGTTGTATGAGAGAACTCCCTGGTGAATTTGTTTACTTTTTAGTGGGGAACGGGAGGTGGCATTGAAGTGTGCATCCTTTGCTTTTCTCTCTCTTTCATTTACGTGTGGAGGGTGTTATTGCAGCGGAGCGTAGGCAGCAGGCAGTAAAGACGAAGGGAGATAATGATAACTGAAGAATTATTTTGTGCATTTGTGCACCAGGCTCTGAGTGACCCCGCGGCAGCCCGTGCGGACAGTCACGTGAATGTAAACGGCGGTAGTCACAACGACAACACGCAGCAAATGCAACAACACCGCCAACAGCAACTGCCGCAGCGGTGCTACAACCCCTCTACTGTGAGCCGTGCCGCCCTCACGGCATCCTCGTGCTCCCCGTTAGACCACCCAGACTTGCTTATGGCATATTACAACGCGAGTCGCAACGCACTGCTGCGGTATCACTGCGACATGCCCTTTCTTCAGCCACGCACAACGTACACAATGCACCAGCGTGTCTCCCCCGCATTTGTGGGGCATTCAGGTACGCGACAGCCACGGCATTATGCACGGAGTCACGCGCCTCCAGCCAGTCGCCGGAACTCCTCCTCGTATGCGTACAGACATCACGAAGATGAGGCACCATCGACATCTGCGGATGCGACTTATCGCACGGAGCGCTACACTGACCTCCTTGGGACGACGGCTATGACGAACACCGTGGCAGAGCAGCCACGCGGCAGCTGGAGAGCGTTTGCGGAAGACGATGGCGATATCATGTTGGAAGAAGGACGTCCCTCGTGGTCGCCTCGACAACTGCGCTACAGGCAAACCCCTGGAAGTAGTGCCGGTGGACCACGCGAAGGCTCCGGGGTTTCGTTTGACGCTTTGAATTACGGTGGATTTGGTGAGGATGACAACGACGTGGAAGAGGAGGCAGAAATGCGTGGGCGACCGACGGTGCGACTGGACTCACGGCGAATAGGAAGGCACGAGGAGGTGTTTTTGCCCAGAGGCTCACACTCGTCGAATGCGCGTGCCAGAGTACACTTTCATGAGCAGCACTCCTATCACACAGAGCCTTTTACCAGACCTTCTGAAGGGGCATCCACGTGGGTACAGGGGCGTGGCGGAAGCACCACTACCAGCAATGAAGAGGGAGAAGAAGAGAATGAGGCGTGTGAGTGGCAGGACCCGGATGCGGATGGTGAGCACTCGGATCCTCACTCCCCGCTGCTTGGAACATTGCGGAGGAAGAGAGACATGTGAAGGCGGGTCACACACCACTCACGAAGGAAAGAACCGGTGGTATCATCCAGCATTTAGATCTTTTTGGATATTCGAGCTGCTCCTTTCATCGTCATCGCCACACCCATTGGCGTCTCTACGTTTGTGTGTGTGTGTGTGCGTGTGTATGCACCGGTTGAACTTTCCACTCTCTCATATTGATTATTTGCCGCTTCTGAGTTGTTGTTTATTTATTTATTTTTTTTTGCTCCATGCCTCTCTGCAGCCCTCCTGCTACGCTTGCTCATGTCGCTTCCGCGTTGGTGTTATTGTGCATTGTCCCGTGGGCAGTAGGAAAGAGAAAGGAGGGTCCAAAGTCAACCTGGCCAGACGCTCTCTCCGTGCGTGTGTGTCTCTTTTTTTTTTTCGGTGGTGGGAGCGGGAAGGGACAACGAGGGGGGGGAGGCAACCACCACGAATGGTGGGACATGTTGGGGAGGGTAGTCGTAGAAAGTCTCGAAAAAGACAACGTGATGATTCCTGTGAAAATAGCACTCATGACAAGAAGGCGAGGAGTCATGGCAATGAAAGCGGTCCATCCCCTTCTTCCATTGCCTCTTTCCACACAAACGAGGAGTCAATGCCTCTTCACAGTTCAACTCGTGAAGAATTTGATGACAGGTTGAGACACGTCACGACACCCTCCACCTTGCCACATAAGATGGATGTAGAAACTGTTGGCCTCACGGATAAGAATGAAGGTGGATCTTTCTTTATTATCCACCTCAACGAAAGGCCATCTCGTGTAGCCGTGACCACGCCTTATATAAATCCTCGGCAGTTGTTTGGACATGCGGGTATTTTATTGCAGGATGTCACAGTACCCCGTCATCCAATTCTTCTTCTGCCTTGTCCGCATACGGGCAACGTCACGGTGCATCCGCGACGCCGTTACAGACTGATGAAGTTTATTGGGGAACACATGTGTCTTGCGGGGGACTTTTACCCAGTACTGGATGAAGAATACCAACAGCGCAGACAGAATTCTTCCGAGGCTTTCCGAATACGGCAGCGAGAGTCGTGGGCAATGAGTGAGTTGATGGGCATGATGAAATTCCTCCAGTCTAACCCGCAGAATAGTGTGGATGACTTTTGGGCCCTTCCACCAGAGGAGGCAGCGCGTTACCACTCGTGCGGGAATGTTGCACTACTTGAACGGAGCGAAGGCATCCAGTCTGAGAATAATGACGAGATGGAGTCCGTAAGTGATGAGGAACTTGGTGGAGCCAGCAGCAGCAGCAGCAACGGAGACACTTAGCCTAAACGTACGCGAAAGTGATGGCCGTGTATATGTAAAGCAGTGTGCCAGTGTGTATGTACTACGTATGTGAGCTGATGACGAGTTGGCCGCATTTATTTGACACAGACGTGTTATCTCTGCAGTGTTTCTTTGCTTGTTTATTCCCTTCGGTAGCTGCGGCTGTGCTGGAAGTCCTTTCCTCTGGAAGAGGTTCAGATGGCGGAGGAAAAATTACAACTAGGCTCATTGTGAAGAAGTGGAGAACAGACGTGTTGGCATAGGGGTGGAGTGGGGGAAGTGAACAATCAGTAACAAAAGAGAAAATTTAAGTGGATGGTTTGTGTGTGTGTGTGTGTGCGTGTGCGTGTGTTGTTGTTGATGATGATCGTTTGTTTGTTGTTTGAGGCAAAAGCTTGTCGTTGTTGTCTTGGGTTTTGTCTTTGGTCTCTTCGTCCGCCGGTTTTGTGGTTCCCTCGTAGCTTGGAGTGACGGCCCCAGCAGCACCACTAGCGGCAGCAGCAGCAGGCGATCCATCGTCACTGTCGACATATCCATTTCCGCACGCATGGCATCCGTCGCTGGAGGTGTGGCAGCGGGACCAGCACCGCCCCCCTACCACTCCACGGGGGCGGTAAAAACAAATTATGTGGTCGAGCACGCCGCCCCCTCTGCCGTGTGTCTCGTGCGCAAGATACAGACCTCCCCGTACCAGCCACTTCCCTCGGAGCAGGTGCAGTCCGTGACGCTTCCGAATCTTCTTTCGTTGCGTTCGCCGCCGCACGTGGCGCATCAGGCGTTGATGGACTTCTACTTTGCGATGAATGGTCACTGTGGCATTAACTGTTCCGACCCGTCGTCGCTGGACCTCATTACGGTTGCCGTGCACGCACGAAATGCGGGTGGGAGTGGCAGTAACACTGAAATCCATTCGAAGGAAACACCTAGACCGCATGCGGGGACCACCCCGCCGTACTATCACGCGGCAGGTTCCTTGTCGACAACCCCGCTGACTTCAGCCATGCCAAATAATGATAGCAAGAATAGCAACATGTTGTTTTTATCAAACGAAACGCCACCTGTGATAGATGGTGGCATGTACACTCACAGTCAACAACAACAACAACAACAGTCCAATTCAGCGCCATCCGTCTTGGGTACATCGATAATTCCTCCAAGTTTCACGTCCTCCTCCTCGGAGGACTATCGGCTTTCGCAAATACGAAGAAATGAGCGTCATGTGAACAATGCGTTGTATGGCAAGGTGTGTGCCTTCTTTAACACGCGGGAGGGCTGCAGGCGTGGACCATACTGCCACTTCCTTCACATTGGCAAAGGTGGTGGAGGCAGTGCGGGAAATGGCGGTGGAGCAGCTCCCCAACAATTTTATTGAGCAAAAAAAAAAACACACCCCAAACGCAGGCAAGGAAGGGTGATGAAGGTTTGAGACCATGAGAGAGAGCGAGAGAAAGAGAAAAGGAGTATTCGATGCGCATTCAAAAACTAAGATCTATTGCATTGCCTACCAATGTGGAGGGAAAAAATGGAAGAAGTAGTGAGGGAGATAGTTGGAAAATGCAAAATTCAACGTGGTGACGTCTTCACTTGTCTCCAGCAGGCCGGATAATTCCGACTACGTTTGTTGATTACTCCTCCGTTTCTTGTTCTTGTTGTTTTGCTCCTCTTATCGGTTAGGTTTAAGCCGCGGCCATGTCTGTGATGGCTGGCAGCACGGCCGATGTGCCTTTGGTTCCAGTTCACACTTTTCCATCATCGAAAGGGCGTGGACTCCCAACCTGCGACGTGAATTATGATTATTATGCCCCCTTTTGGTCTTTTCTTGCCGGTGCATTGACGGGTGGTATTGAGGCCATCGTCACGTATCCGATAGAGTATGTCAAGACGCATCTTCAGCTTCAACAGCTCTCTCATTTGCATTTGTCTTCGTCTTCATCTTCGTCAGCGCATGTGTACAGTGGCATGTGGGACTGTGTGAAGAGAACTGTACGGCAACACAGCCCATTGGGTTTATATCGCGGCTTTGTACCGGTATTGTTGGGCTCCATGCCAAAACAGGCTTCCCGTTGGGCCGCATACGAGTGGGCCACGGAGACCGCCAAAAGAATAACCAGCCGTGATGGCAGTGTGCATAACGAGGTGATACTTAGTCTACCTGTCCTGAGTGTCTGTGGCTTCTTTGCGGGGTTTGTAGAGACGCTGTGTGCCGTGGGCCCAACAGAAAGCGTGAAGACACAACTTATTCATGATTCCAAGCAACCGTTCCCGCGATACCACTCGTTTGGTACCGTTGGTGCCGTGCGGTTGATGCTGCGGGAGAAGGGCTTTCGGCGCACGTTTTACAGTGGCGTGAGCGCTACAATGGTGAAACAAGGGCTCAACCAATCCCTGCGATTCCCGGTGCAAAAGTTTGTCATGGACGCGTTCTGTAGTGATGCCGTTATCGGTCCATGGCATGACAGAAAAGGTGTGAGAGGCGAAGCGGAGAAGGAGTGGATGAGGCGGCTGCGGGAGGAACGAAGAAAAAATCCCTTTTGGAATGGACTTGCCGGTTTCTTTGCGGGTGTGCTTTCGGTTCTAATTACACAACCCGTGGATGTCATCAAGACACAGGTGCAGTCCGGCACGTTACATGACACCGTCATTTACAACAACAGAAAGAACACGAGCAACAGGGGTAGAAAAGTGACATGGATGATGTTGAATGAATGTGGGGCACCGCATAGGATGGGCTACATGAGTTATTTTCGTAGCATTTATCATCAGCGTGGGGTTGCTGGTTTCTACGCGGGTGTTATTGCACGGAGTGTGCATGTGGGTACACACGTGGCACTTACCTTTACCATATTTCCTGTCATTCGACGCATGGCTGACGGTAACGCCGGCAATAAGAAATGATTGCCATATTCATAACCAAAGTGCATAAATATATAAAGAGATAAAGAGAGGCTGTGAGTGGTTCATTGGACGAGATAAAAATAAGGGAAGGGACGCAAAAACACAAAAAAAAAATAAAATAAAAGAACACTCTTTTGTCTGTTTCTTATTTATTCATTTATTTTAATTTCTATGGTATTTTCTTGTAGAATGGGAGTAGCTGTGTGCATGTGTATGTTTTCTTGGCGTGTCTGTGGGGAGTAAACGGAAGGAGTAGAACACGAGGAAAGGGAACTGCTATTATTGGACACTTTCTGTTACAGGGCTTTGGATGCAAGTACCACTCAGATGCGTATCCCCCAATAGACAAACACACAAAAAAAAAAAAAACAAGGGAAAAAGAAAATATATACATACTTATCTATATATTATTTGTATTTATTGCCTTCATGCATGTACACAGGTACAACTCAACATTTGGTCTTATTATTTTTCATATTTCGCTCTATATGTATACATATAGGTGTTTGCCCACATACATGTGGATGTATATATATATATTGCAAGTATATATATATATATACTTGTGTGTATTTGCGTGTGAATAATACGGACCCATTACTTTGTAACGGCGGCCGCATTTTGTTTTGTTTTGTTTTGTTTTTGTTTATTTAACTTCTCATATGTCTTTTTGTTTATTTTAGAGGGCATGCCCTGTGTATGTGTTTGCGATTCACGTTCCAAAGATGCCCAATAAATAAAGCAGGGACGATGAAAATAAATATGTATGTATATATGTATATATAGAGGGAGAGAGAAAGATGGAGAGAAGTACTCGCGTTGCTGCAGAATTACGGTTTTTTGCCGGATTGCCATTTTTTTTTTTTTTTTTATGATTCCCACCACGCGGCGGTGTCTTGTGGCTGGAATTCCCCAAATTCTGCCATTTCATACCTAATAAAATAAATATGTTTCAGATCTCACCTGAGTACAAAAGGGTCGAGTGAGCGGTCAGAGGGATGTATGCATGCATGTATATTTAATCATAAGGGAAACATTTGGGCAGTTAACTGCCTTTACCTTTTTCTTCAATATCTTGTTTGTTTGTTTGTTGTTTTTTTTTTTTTTTTTTTTTGGATTCTATAGGAAATTTTAGGATCCGGCCAGCGGCACAGGAGATTATTCTCTTTTTTTTTTTTTTTTCTTAATTGCTTAATGCGTTGGTGCTTATTCCGTCCCTCTCTCTCTTTCTGTGTGTGTGTTGATTCCCTTGTGCGAGCTCACGGGGCCTAATTGTGATTGTTGCGCATGTATATATATATATATATATATGCCTCTGCATGTAAGTTTGTTGGTTTGCCGCTGTACTCCCGCCTGCGTGTGTCTGTGTGATGGGCTGCTTCTCTTTCTTTTGTTGCGTCCCTTTATCGTTACTGTGCGCGCACCACATGGGGAGAGAAGAAAAATAATAGAGGGAGAAATAGAGCGAGTGTCTGTATCAGTGTCTCCGTTGCGGCTGGTACTGGTAGAAGGAGGAGAATAGAAGAAGGAAAAAAAAAAAAAAGAGAGAGAGAGAGAGAGAGAAGGGTGAACGAGAAAAAGGAGAAGAAACATTTGAGAAGAAATTGGAACGAAAAGTGTAAGAGGAAGCAAAAAAAAAAAAAAACTGTGTGTCTGTGTGAGGGAGAGGGAGAGGGAGAGAGAGAGAGGAAACCAATAATAATAATAAACAAACAAAAAAGCAAAAACAAAAATATTTGTAGACCGGACGTCCCGTCTTGGACGTGATGCTTTCAAAAAGGACGTCGCCAGCACCCTTCCGTGCGCTCCTGCTGCCGGTCGTGGTGGTGGTGGTGGTGGTGGCATCTGTGGCCCTCCCTGCAGGAGCGCAGTTTGATTTAAGGCAGCAGCTGGTTATACAGGATTTCTTCATCAGTCGCTCCTGCGCAGGATGTTCACAGGGGCAAACCGATGGCCCAAGCGGTGTCGGCACACTCTTCACTGCCGCCGGTGGTTCGCTTGGCAGCGATGCTTCCACGCTGCTGTTGTGTGACCATGGTGGTGGTGGCTCCAGCGTGCGTTTGGTGAACAAATCCGGCATTTTCACCCTTGCCGGTAGTAAAACGACGCGTGGCAATCAAAATGGTCCGGCGGCGACGGCACTCTTCAACATACCCCGAGCTGTGGTGCTTGAGGATGGAGCGCTTTACGTGGCTGACAGTGCCAACAACCTCGTTCGAGAAATCTCCAATGGTATTGTCACTTCGTTTATTACGGAAGGACTGCTGGGCCCATCGTACATCAAACCGTACAGCCGTCCAAATGGCGCCCATGACTTGTTTGTGTCGGACACGGGCAAATCACGTATCATTTTTGCCCCAATTCAGAAACAAACGTTCATCACAGTGTTTATAACGGGATTCCAGCCGGATGTTCTTCAAATTAGCGAGAACAGTCGTTTTATGTTTGCCATCTGCAATTCCACGAAAATTCTTGCGATTAATATGCAGGGAGCCACAACCCCGAGGGATTACTGGCAAGTTGGGGATGCGGACTGCATGGGCTATCAGAGTTCCCTCATGCTCACGGCCGAGGAGGATAAACTCCTCTACTACGGCGTATTAAAAGGAATCCCATCCATCATGTCTTTACCCACCACCAAAACGAAGACGGAAGCACCCAAAATTTGCCCGGATGTGTTGTTGCAGTGGCCACATGGGCCCATTGTTTCGCTTGTGAATATTAACAAACATGCATTTTACGTTGTTACCGTCTCCAATGTATACATTGTACATGATGGCTCGTATCATCCGACTGTGACGCCGACACCTCCTCTGACACCGACGCCTACACCGGAAGTGACGCCCACACCGCCAGTGACCCCGACGCCTACACCGGAAGTGACACCCACACCGCCAGTGACCCCGAGCCCCACCATCACAATCCACCGGGGTTTTGCTGTGGCAGCCTTTTCTGCCCGAAGTCTTCCAATCGAAGACCCGCGGCTTATGCATGAACTGCTTTCTTGGATAATGAAGGATGTAGGGATTGCGTTCGAATCCACGGACTTTTTTGCCGTATTTCCGCCGGATAGAGAGGTTCTGGTGCCCGGTGATGTAAATGTCTCCACCTGGAATAACTTGACGGTGCTATTCAACTTTGACCACACCATTCTCATCACGGAATATTACACTCCAGAGGGCATGTCTTCAGAGGAGGGACAGGCCCGACTCTTCGCTTCGCCGTGGTACTGGACGAGAAAGCTCCTTGATTCATTAAGGGAAACAGTAGCTTGGAAGGACTTGGAGGCGTTTTGCATGGTCAACTGTGTTGAGCACTGTGAGACAATGACATTCCATAAGTCAGAATGTGTAGGCTACGTCCGGCCCCCAGTATGCAACGACGTCTGTGTGGGGGCGGTAGTGTCCTCCGCGGTGCTTGGCGCCACAGGTATCGCACTCATTGCACTGATGGTTGGAAGTTCGGCGAACGTACGGAGCGCTGTGATTCTTGTTCCACCCATGTAGATTTTGTCCCCGCCCCGGAGAAAGGTGGGAAATGACTTCAGAAATTGAAATTAGAAGGAACCAACAATACAAGAAGCAAGCGAAGGTGAAAACAACGGGAAGAAGAAGAAGAAAAAAAAAAAAGGAAAAAAATGGGGGCTGAGTGGGGGGAAAGAGAAAGAGGAGAAATGTGCGTGTAAGCGTGTGTGTGTGTGTGTGCGTGCCGGGGCAAAAGAAGAAACACAAAAGATTTCTTTTTTGGTTTTTGTTTTAATGGTGCAAAGAGGGAAACAAGAAAGCGAAGGGTGCATGTGTGTCTGTAGATATATAAAAATAAACATATGCCCCGCATGTATTTTACCGTTGACAGTTCCGTGGCTTTTTTTTTGTTATTTTTTCCTCTTATTTTCTCCTGTGTGTGTATGTATTATTATTCTTTTGTTTGTTTTTTTTACCTACTCATCTGCCTTCATTTTTTTTTTTTTGTGTGTGTGTGTATTTTCACTCTGCCCCTCTCTCTTTCTCTCTTCTTCTTCCCTCTTCATGCGTGTATTTCCGCATGGAGTGGAAAAGGAACGACTGGGAGCGATTGTGATGGTGCTTCTGTTGGAAGGTGGTGGCTATGCGAGTAGTGGAGTTGCATGTATGTATGTATGTATATTGTGTGGCTTGGTGTATATATTTAAATGTTTGTTTGTTTGTCTGTTTCCCCTGAGTGTCGGGGGGACGTACACCGACCCACTTACAGAGAGAGAGAGAGAGAGGAAGAGAATGAGAGAAAAGGGGGGCGTGTGGTGTGTTCTGTATTCATTGAAGAGCGCAAAAATAAATAAAATAATAAAATGAGGGAGAGAAGGGAGGAGGAAACAGCAGGAGGAATTTGTATGCCATCGTTTGTGGACTAATTTTTTTTCATAAGGCCTCTGTGATGGCCCTGTTAACCACGTCCACGGCAGTAGACGAGTCAACATTGACTGCGAGTGTTACGCCAACTGTACGTTTGTCTCCCTCGTGCTGTACGTGTGTGCACTGTGTGTCTGTGTGTGTGTCAAGGGCCCTTTTTACGTGTCTGTGCGCTTGGGTGGGGAGGGGAACAGGAGGAGGAGAGACGAAGAAAGAAAGAAAGAAAAAAGCGGGCGTGAGATATACGGCAAATATATATATATATATATATATATATGTGCTTGTGTATTTGTATGTGTTCATTAGAACGGAGGAGAGAATGAAGTTTTCGTGCGGCAAAGCGGGCGTGCATGTGCGCTCCTGTACAGTAGTCACCGTCATTTGATTTTTTTTTTTTCCTTTTTTGCCTGCCACATGTCTGCAGGCAACGGATTTGCCCACGCCGGAGTGGAATGCGATGTACGCATTGAACGGGTGTGCCGACGTGATGTCTCTCCTCCCCTGTTGTCATTGTTTTGTTTGTTTTTGTTTTTATTTGTTTGTTTGTTTGTTTTTTTCTCCGTAGGTCGCACCGCTGCGGTGGTCTGTTGTTGTTTGTTTGCTTCCATTTTATTTAGCGTGCCGTGTGCCCCTTTTCTTCCCGTCTTGTTGTTTTTTGTTGTTGCCAGGGGTTACGCGTGAGCGAAGCGGGTCGAGGAGGAGGAAGAGTACACGAAGAAGCCTCCCAGGGAGGAAAGGGGGAAGTGGAATGTACACTCGAAATTGAATATTGCGCAGATCACATCAATTCTCCTGCTTTCATTTTCCTTTTTTTTTTTCTTTTCTTTTTTTTTTTTTTTTTTTTTTGTCTCCCAATTCCTTCTTTGTGTGTATGCGTGGCGGTGGGGAAGGGGAAGAAGTAGGAAGGAGGCAGCACGCCGTTAGTTTTACTCCAGTAGACATTCAAGACAGAAGGATATTGAATATTTTATTTGTAGATATTTTATTTTATTTTTATTTATATTCAGCAATAAGAAGAAGGAAGGGAAGAGGCAAAGACGGGGGAGGTGCGGCAGGAGTAAAGGAATTCTACACGTGTGGAACACATACATAGAAGATATATATATATTGACAGTTTTGTGTGTGTGTGTGTGGCCATTGAAAATGTTTTGGTTTCAGAGTTTATTATTTGCCCTGTTTGCTGGGCTTCTTTTTTCCTTCACGTCAAGCGTGGTTGTTGCCATGCCGTTAAGGTACATGGTAGAAACCGTTTCTGGAATCACGGGCTCCATTGGACATGCTAACGGTGGGCCCGGTACATCGCTGCTAACGAGACCGTCGGCAATTTGTCAAGGCCGCAATGAGGACGAATTACTTTTTGGTACACAAGGGTACTTCCGTAACTTCTCGCGCAGCACGAAGATGACGGGTATACTCATTGGGGACGGCACAGCGCAGATTTTGGATGGGACATGGAGCCAAGCACGGATTGACGGTCCAAGGGGTTGTGTGCGGGGGATATTCAGCCAAAAAATGATTGTTTACTTTGTAGAGGGTCAAAGTAGTCTTCGTTACTTTACCAGCGATTATGTACACACCGTGATGATATCCATCAATCTGTTCTTTACCGATGTGAAGCTCTATGAAGGTAAGCTTTATATGACGGAGCAAACTAAGGACGAGGTCTGGGGATGCGATATTGATGCGGATGGAGCCCCCGTGTCATGTGCCTTGAAGACTGGCTTTAAATGCGATTACGGGAAGTATCATGGCATCACCGTCACAAAGCAGGGTGTCTTTGTTGTGGGTGAATCCGCTGCAGGCATCTGCCATTTTGACATGCATGGAAATAAACTTTCTGTTCTTGGAGGAAATTACATTGATGTTTTTAGTCTGCCCTCCGATGAGTTGTACATCATGTCATACACCGAGCTCTTTCACCTCCGTGTCATTGGCTCTGCAATGGTGGTGGAAAAATTTGCGGGTCGTGCGGATGCCACATGTCCGCCGCTTATTGACGGCTACGACTTTACGTTATGCAAGAATTTACGTCTCTTTGTGATTGATCAGAGTGAAATGTACCTTGCGACTACCCTAAACACAGTGCGCTCTGTGACCCTTCCGCCGGCAATTGTGTGGATGGAGCTTCCGCCCCCGCCTCTGCCGATTGGATACCCCGATGAATATGAAGTCATGAAGAGGATTATCCAACTCATGAATGAGGAACTCAATGAGCATTTGAGGACAAATGGCACATATGTGTC